CGTAACTTGAAAGTCCCACGTTCAATCATCCGTAGGGTCGTAGGTGCATAGGAATGAAAAGTCACCAACCAGGACGAAATAACTGTACAAAACTCTCTGATTTTCAATAGTTGTCTAACTAACATTAATCTAATAATACTTTAAACAGATTTAAATTGAATCGGCTGGACTCATTGGTTTGGAGGTGCTTAACGACTATGTATCTAAGCTCTACAATGGTATTCATGCGGTCACTTAGCCCCCATTTTTTAGGAAGCATATGCTAGTGAAGTTAATTAAGCTGGAGATGAAATTTCTGCTACCGAATACCTTCTCTACAATATCAGCTCTAACAGTAGAAAATCTGTAACAGATGACAAACAAAGGCAAAAAATATATTCACTAAAACTCAAAGTTAATTATTTTTATGATTGAAAATGCTCATTAAAATTTTCAAAAGAATGATTACTGAACAAAAAATATTCTTTTCAATAACCCACACTTCATCAGGTTCTACAGTTATATATACATTATAGTGAATGAATGAATTAGTGTTATGAATAACATTAATGTTGTTTAAATAACATCGAATCAATAATAATGATAATAATATCAATGGATCTCAGTGCGATAGCATCAGTATAACAATACACTGAATATCAGAAAAAATTAGGGAAAATAATAATACGAATTCATGAATTTATAGTCTTCACTGGAAACTGAGCAGGGCGATAGTGGTGGCTGGACTTGGTTCTTTTACACACAGAGTACTAGTAGTTTCAGGTGAATCGTGATAGCCTTAGTTGTTTGGAGTATGCAGTACTTGGATGTTTTTGGCAATTTGTTTGGTACCCGATAAATGATGGAGAAAAACTCTTCAATATTAGCTTTCTGGCCAGTTTGGACCACATGTTCTAATATTGTGCTGTTGGTGCTTCTCACTACACCCCAATGGTGGATGTTTCCGAGCACGAAAAATCAAGTTCCTAGAGGAACAGCCGATATGGCTCACTCCGCAAGCGCAGTTGAATTGGTAGATACAATTTGAAGTGGCTAGTCTAGGTACTTCATCTTTCAGTCAAGGAATCACCATCGGTCGTGTAGAAAATAAGACTTGTAATTTGCCAACATTAAAAGTTCTTTGAACTGATTTTGCTTAACTTCTTCGTAATTATTTCGCTAGGTTTGTCGCTCTTGAATTGCAGCCATAAGTATATAGGCTTCCTGTTTACGGGTAATGAATAGTCCTTTTCAACTTTCTTAGTCACATATTTCCTGATGAATTTGTCTGGATAGCTATTTTAAGTTATCATATACAGTCCTTAGTTCATCTTCAGTTACCTCTTCTGCGCATACAGCTGTATTTCTTCTGTACTGTAGAGGAAGGAAGCTGTGGAAATGTGTATATTGTCCTGTCCATGTGCTTTCCAATGCAAATTTCTCTTTATGCTACCATCTGGTTTTCTTGTAAGGAGGACATCCAGGAAGGCGATTCTATTTTCGGAATCCTCTTCGTACGTGAATTTCATAGCAAAATGTACTTCATTGAATGGAGCTTTGATTGTATTCCTATCCGAATCATTATCACGAAAAATAAAGGCATCATCCATATACCGGCAATAAAATGAGAATTTTCTGATAAGGTTGTTCAGAGGTCAATTTTCTAGTTTACTTAGAAAGAAGTCTGCCAACATGGGACCGCGTTGGGAGCCCATCGCCACCCCGTCCACTTGTCTGTAAATTGTGCCATAAAATTGGAAATATACATTCATGGTACACCTTAATAACAATTCTTTTAGGATTTTCGTTAAGTCGCCAGTAATCCAAACATCTGAGGCTGTCACGATTCACCTGAAACTACTAGTACTCTGTGTGTGCAGAAGAAGCAAGTCCAGCCACCACTATTGGCCAGGCCGGCCTTCAATGGAGACCATAAATTCATGAATTCGCATTATTATTTTTCCTAATTTTTTCTGATATTCAGTGTATTGTTATGTTGATGCTATCGAACTGTAATCCACTGATATTATTTATTATTGATTCGATGTTATTTAAATGACATTAATGTTGTTAATATCACTAATTCATTCATTATTATGTATATATAACTGTAGAGCTTAATGAAGAGCGGGTTATCAAAACAACATTTTTTGTTCAGTAACAATTCTTTTATCTTTCATGACCTAATTATTTATTATTATTATTCGCTTGAGTCAGTCATCAGTACATCTCTGTTTCACGCTGTTCCCTGAAGTTTTCTTTGGCTGGCTGCACGATTACCTATACGGCCTCACTCACTCCTCATTTGAACTCAGTGTCACCCTTGGACTCATATCCAACTATTTGTTCCCTGTTCGGGTTCCACTTGAGGACACACCTGGTGCATGATGTCACTGGACGATTTTTTCAACATATACCTAATTCATCTCCATTTGATTCACTGTATTCTTTGGGCGATATGTTTTTGGTTTTGTTCACTGCCCGCTAGAGTTTTTTATTGCTTATCCTTTCTCACCAGCAGTCTGATCTTTCGTATCGGACCAGCTTAGACAGGTGTGATGAAAGTCTGTAACATCCTGTCCGAAATGCATTTCATGATGTATGTGCGCCAAGTCTCTGAACCATCTATAGACACTGACTTGAGCGGTATTACTGTTGAGAATTTGAGTCTTGTATTTTGTGATAAATGTTGACCGCTTATTTAAAATATTTTGTATTGTGATAGTAGGGCTATGTTGGATTACAGTGGAACAATGACTTAGTTAACACCTACGTCTTTCAACCCAGCCTCGTAAGCAACTAGCCCCTTCTTTGAACCCTATCGCAAGTAAGATTTTCATTTTGCCTTCATTCACCACTGTTTGCTTTATTCCTGCTGGGAAATTCATTTTTTGGTCGGTACATCAACCAAAATTGGTGAAAGCCTAATTTTTAAATCCTCTTTTTCCAATTACTCATTTCTGATTCATTTGAAATAAGCATCTTCTAAACAAGTAATGCTTATCCCCCCCTCATTTCAATTAACTAAATGTATGTGATTCTGTATATTTCGACTCTCTCTATTAAATATTTAATATTCAACTGGCATTATTCTAAAACCACAACTTATCCTAAGCGGTATCGTGGGTATACATTGTTGAATATTCGTAGAACAGCTGTTCTCTAAGCCATGAGTTCCAGTGGTTTCCCAACTGATGTTCGTTCATGATAAAATCCGTCTTTTAATTAACTTATTAGCTGGTAAATATTTAAAGTTTTTTTGGGGGGAGACGTTTAAGTATCCTAATGCTTACCAAAACTTTTTAAACTGTATTACCGGAAATTCTCAAAGAATCTATACCTTAAGACAGACTTGTGAGAAATTAATTGATGTTTTCAAGAATGTAACATCACTTTGTAAACCATTAACAAAGAATAAGTTCTACACACCTTATCAGGCACAAGTCCTCTAGAGTGAAACCAGTGCATATCATATTGCGCAGTCGGGGCTGGGCTATCTTATAGCGTAAATATTCTATTGCTGTAACACTTTAAAAATGCAATCACTTGTTTGATGAACTAGTCTACTAAGTAAAATTGGAAATGCAATGTGGCGGGAAATATTCCTTTTCCTTCAGAAGTCTACGATATGCTTTGAATATGACTGGCTGCTTTCAACGTAGAACTCCGTACAGAAGTGCGCCAGTTAGAGTTGCCACCCTCCATGAAGCACAAAAAGGAAGACAAAAGAGTGAAAACAATAGGTTCGGAATAATGACAATGAGCAGAAATGTGAGCCAGAAAGAATAGTGACAGGAAAAAACAAAGTATTTTATAGATATAGCAGATCACAATTAGTGAACACATCTGTGCCATTTGCAACGATTTTGAGCCATACAATTGTCACTCATTATCACTAGATGTTGGTCCTCAGATTGTCAACGACCCCAACCAGTCAAGTGGTCCGCACCTCTCTACGTGGTTCAAACTAACTGTCAAAATCTTCATAGATTGACTCCAAGTTTTGGTTTGACCGCCAGTGGCTCTTTTCCAACCCCATCCTATGTCACCTAACATTGCCTGTCAAGGCAAGTAGCCGCTAGACATGCGTAACATATATCCTAGTCATCTCAGTCTATGTAAACTAGGCCTAACCTCAATATTACTCACCCCATTACACCAGGAGATAGAATTCAGACACCTATGATCAAAAACAGCTAGTCTTTTCATGTCTTCCACTTTCGGTACCTATGTCTCACAGTCATAAGGGAAGACAGAGCGAAGTGGTGTTCAGTAAACACACCTTCCGACCGACAACCAGATATGGTCTCTATTCCAGAGACTGTGTAAGTTAGCAAATGCCACACGAACCTTCTGTATCCATAGTCAGATTTCGTCGGCATGCTATAGATAATAATTAGTGACTACCTTTTATAAATGACAAGTAATAGTGTCCTGAAATTATGTAACGCACTGAAAACTTTACATTCAAGAACTGTTCATATATACATATATATCGTTTTCCCGCCTCTCCCCAACTGAAACCAGACTACACGTATACCATATTACCTGGATGTTTGCTTCTTTCGTCATCATTACTACTAATGTTACATAAATAACAAAAGACAGTTATCAATCATTAAATTATTGATAATAATTATTAATTATAATAACAATTAAAAACCAAAAAATGTTTAACAGTGAGTGTTACTGCTGTGTTGTTAGTGTTGTTAAAAACTTTAGGTGAAATATTTTGTTTTAACTTTCCATTTATTTTATTTCATATTATTTTATTTTTTGGTCTTCAGAGAAAATACTGATATTTTGTTTGAATAGTTGTGTATGTTTAAAGGCGAACTGATAAGCAGTCATTGATGAACGAATATTTTGCAGATGTATGCGTCACTACAGTTGTTTTTTTCTATCTCTTTATATGACAACTAGAAACTAGAACCTTTTGATTACATTAAATTTGGAAGTATTCGTAGAATTGACTTCCAGTACTTCAAATGTAATCAATCAATTCTACTTGCAGTGAGTTGGTTTGCTGTTCAACAGTGTGCTGCTATTTATTATCTAACATTCATTTATATTCTTGATGAAGTTCCTGCAATCAGCGATGTGAAATCTGTGAATCTATTGGTGTTACCTGCATCGTCTATAGATATCAACGATTTATACGGTGTACAATCTTCAGACTTAACCAATTCCTCCTCCTCCGGTTGATTGTCTAAAATTGATTCATGTTTGATATTTTTCATACAGAATTTCTGTTGTTCACTCATCAACTGATCAGTATTCATCGTAATATTGTTAACATCAGAGAGTGTATTTGTTAGTGAATAATTTTTTACATTACTCGGTGTTGTTGTACGTGTTGACTGAAATAACGATGGTGCTGTTGTTGATGATGACGATAATGATGGTGATGTTTTACATAAATCTGATCTAGAATTTAATAAAGAAGCTGCAGCTACTAGTTGACTTGGTGTGAAACATGATGTTGAAGATAATGGTGGTGTTATAGTTGTTGTTGTCATTGTCGGTGTTATAGTTGTTGTTGCCGCCGTTGCCATGGTTAAATTCAGTGATTTATTTATTTCATTTAAATTCGATTCAATTGGACTTGCACTGTTTTGATTATTATTGTTATTATTATTATCCATAAGAGAAGGACTAGTAGCATTTACATTATTGCGATCATTTGCAGTTAGAAAATTCTGTAAATATGTTGGTGATGTATTATAGTTTGCGTAATAATTTGAATTTGGTACAAATGGATAATTGGAAAAGGGATTATTGGCATAATTTCCTGTCGTTATTTGATTATTAGTTAATTCTGATATTTTAGATTTAGGTGATATACTTTCATTTCGTTCATTTTCATATGATGCCTGAAAATTCGATGGTACAGGTATAGGTGTTGATGACAGCTGATTCGTTGGATAATTGAACATTGAACGACCACCTTGTTTTAATGCATAATTATTAGTATTTAGTAGTAAATCATTGTAACCGAAAAAATCAAAAGGTGTATCAATTGTTGACTGATTATGTGGTTGATTTTGTTGTTGTTGTTGCTGCTGCTGCTGTGTCATAAGATTAGCACTTTTAATTAAATCTAATTCATTCCTATCATTACAACGTAGAGTTGGTGGGATACAATCATAGTTATTAGTATTATTATTGTTATTATTATTACCATTACTTCTGTTGCATGCTTGTGCTTTTATACGAAAGTCTGGACTACGCAGTCGTATTTTCCCACCATCAATTGTATGCATTAAATGAGAATGACCATCAACATGATACTCTTCAACTGATGAAGATTCAGAACAATTTGATATATCAGAATTAACTGAATGCTGGTCAGTTAAATTTAAACCAAGTTTTCTATGATTTATAGAATTGGTTGTATTTATTGAAGATGAAGATAATAAAGGATTGTCTAATAGATCGTTTACTGATCGACGATTCATCCCAGTCCTGTCATTAACAGATAAATTATTAGTATTCATTGTCTCATTGCGTAGATCCATTGTATTCGGTGTTGAGTGATGATCACTGATCGATGAGGCTTCTTTGTCTTTTTGAGCACGTTTACACTTATAACGATGATTTTGAAACCATATTTTAACCTGCATTTTTGGTGAGATGAAAATAAAAATAGAAAATTCAAAGGAATTTGTTATTGACTAGTAAAGTTAAAATATTGATTGATTTCAGGAAGATAATCATTGAGAAACGTTTCTAACGCCGTTCCTATCTTCAATTCATTGACTTTTTCGGAAATAGCTAACCTCGTAAACTTTGTTCCAGCATATACATTCCTTCGTGAAGTTTATCTGTCAGCGCTCCAAAATATCTTCAGATCAGTTAGATTTTAAAAACTTAGTTCTTATTTTTCTCTGAAGTTTGTGTATGCGTACGTATGAGTTTTTGTGTGTGTGTGTTTGACACAGGGGGAGAGAGAAAGTTAAAGTCGCTCTTTTACTGACGGTTTTTACGAAGACGCTATTCCTATACCAAGGAAAATGATGAGATTTAAGTATTAGCCTGTAGGGATTTGACTGATTGGTTACGGTATTTCATCATGACAAACAGTCGCCAAAGACACTGGCTAGTGGTCGCGCTATATCGTGAATTGGGAGAAGTTAGAATTCATGGGCTGGACATTGGATCGGTTCCAAGTGGCCTGACGGTCTACGCTCTCGACTTGTAACCAGAAGGTCGTGGGCTCGAACCCTGTTGGTGGGTGCGCACTGTGAAGAGTCCCAAGCTAGGACGAAACAGTTGTCCAGTACTAGCTGCAGGTTTTCCAATGGTCCTCTAGCCGGTGTCAGCACATGATGAAATCCCGTAACCAAAATCATGAGATTTGATCACCCGGATTCGGGTGGTTTCAACCGATTTGACTGCTCCAGCTGGATCTGGCTGAGTACTTTGCTAATGAGCTCTACCAAAAACGAGTGCGTTTCAAATCCTTACACAAACTAGGCTTTCAGATGAGTCATTATTATCAGTGTTATTCCATTGATTGATAACCGCTGCCTCAGCAGTTTTAGACCTGATAACCTACAACCTTTGATAGCATTTAAAATGTGCTTTGGTGGACTTAGCTATCACATCTACTATTTCACTACTGACCTGAAATTCAGTAGTTGGTATTTCTAATTTTCTCTTCTATAGACAGTTTAGTATTCCATAATAGAATATTCTAGCTTGGAGTATCCTTACGCTACAGTTCAAAGCTGACTTGCCAAAACTACCATTCATTTTTATTCTATGAAGAAAACACAACTTTAGTGAACTGATACCATATTATAAATGATAGCGGACAAGTAGTGTAAAGTGTGTTACTGATAAGATTTATCAGTAGTATATAAAGAAACATTCATCGGCACAAAACATATCAAACTGTGGAGGGAAAGATTTAATATCAATGAGAGTAAATGAACCAGTGTTGCTGTAAAACATGCAAGATACGAAAAGAAGACGAAGAAACACATTACGAAGGGTAAAAATAGCACAACACGGAAGACCTGTGTAAATGACTATTTTAGGATTAGGTGTACACAATTTCGCTGTATGGAGATATTCCAAATTCAAATAAATATTCCCTCAATAAGTCCATCGTCTTCTACTATCATAGTAGGAATGGACAGCTTCTTTCCTTTTTCAAGATCAAGATGGCCAGAAAAGATCAGCAACAGAGGTCTCTGGGAGCGAACCAACCAGGAACCAATTGTGAAACAAATAGGTAGGAAGAAATGGAGATGGATTGGCTATACTCTGAGGAAGCCGTCCAGTGACATCAATAGACAAGCCTTCGAGTGGAACCCGAAAGGGGAGCTGCGAGTTGATCATGTGAAGAGGGGATGAAAGCGTGTGGGCAAAGTTGGATCCAGGTGAAGACTCTAGCAGAGAAACGAACGCAATGGAGACGCACGGCTGAAGCCCTATGTTCTTCTAGGAATTAAAGGAAACAATAATAAATAATTTCCTTATTCTTATTTTTAGTGTATATGGAGCTACACACTACAATGTATCTTTGACTTAGTTCTTATAAGAACTAAGATGTTTAACACCGGCAGCATACAATAAACGCATCTGTTAAATGACAGCAGAGAATATCAGACTAAGTAGTAATTCTTATCTGGAGTGGAGAAGGAATTCCATTTAGAGCACCACCTCAATACTGCTCTATTGGGCAACTTTTATCCCAAAAAATTAGATAGTAGCATACAATGGACATACTTTTCAGATCTTTGTTTTTTTTCTAAAAAAAAATCCACTAGATAAAATTACTTTTGTTGACTCGATCATCACAACCTGCTCTGAGTGGATGTGTGCACAGAAATGTTTGCTTTTAAATTTATAAATGACTGACATTTTTACAGAATCCAACCAAATATAAACAAAGCAACCATCAATTCGATGTGAATCACTTCGTGTTTCAACTTGTTGATACCACTAGTTTCATTAAATTTTCACTGAGCATAAAAAAGTGATGAAAAGAATCAATAAATCTATAAATTTGTGTAAAATATTTCATTTGTTTAAAGAATAATCCTGCAACAAGTAGGCTCACATACATATATATATCGGCGATATTTTATAACGACTATGTGATATCGTGAGTTGGCGGAAATTGCGAATTATAATTCATCAAACCCCAATCCACTAGTGAAATGATGAAGTATTCACCTAAAGCCAGATGATCCTTACGTTGATCCCTGGCTAGACCACGAGTAAGCACTAATGAAGAGTCCTGAAACTAGGATTAAACGAGGATGGATACATTTTAGTATCTGCTGGTTTCTCGGTTACATTTATCCCTTGTCGAAGTCAAATGCGGAATTAATCATATCCACAAGACAGATCTTCATTAATCTGAAATCACTTTAGAAATCTGCAGCACTCAGTGTTAACACCAGTCAAGTCAGATCTTTTATACATTTCAGAGACTTGACGAATCACGACAAGCATTCCTAATAAGAAACTGCAGATTTTTACCAGAAGATGCCTTCTCTCCATAATGAAGATCAGATGGTTGGCCTGGAATTAATAGCGACAAGGAACTTTGCCAAGGAGCCAACTAAGGACTTGTTATTCAGCAAATATGCTGAAGATAATGGAAATGGATTAGACACACTTCTAGGAGACCACTGAGTGACATCACTTTATAAGTGGGCACTCGAGTGGAACCCTAGTGAGAAATAACTAGTTTCACGTGTGTTCAAGGGTGACATAGTCATGTAAGGAACCATCTAGAAGAGACGAGAGACAACAAAGTGAAGTGGTGATGTGGTGCTGAGGCCCACTGGGATGATAATAATAATAAAATGCATTCTTACCGAAATAAACATTCCACAGAATATATACAACCAACTAACTAATTTCAATTACTCTTGAGCAAGCGAAAACAAACATGAAAATTCAAATGATTATCTTACCTGTGTAGGCGTTAAATTAATCAATTGTGAAAGATGTTCCCTTTCTGGTGCAGACAAATATTTTTGTTGTTTAAAACGCCTCTCCAATTCATATACTTGAGCTTGTGTAAACAGTACTCGTCTTTTTCGACGTTGTGATAAACCACGAAAAGTATTCGTCGCTGTATGTACACCACCACTTGTTGTATGCCCAGTGTGCACAGCAGCTGCTGCAGCAACATTATGCAGAGAATGCATAGCCGCTGCAGCAGCTGCAGCAGCTGCTGCCATTGAGACACCACCACCACCACCATTGTTACTGTTGCCACCACATCCAGCTTGAGGAGATTGAATTTGTTGTTGTAAATGATGTTGATGTTGATGATGGTGATGCTGATGCTGATAGGATTGTTGTGAATTCAATGCAGGATTGAATGGATGTGAATTTAATGCATTATATTGATTAGTTTGTGAATTTGGCACGCCTCCACCAGTGTTGGCTGCAACAGCTGCTGCAGCTGCAGCGGCTACAGCTACAGCTTTCTGATGCTTCTCATAGGCCAACATTGCAGCAGTATTATTATTATTAGGAGCATTATTTATATTATTGTTATTATTACTATTATTAGGATTATTATTATTATTCAAATGAAATGTACTCATTGGTGAATTATGATAATCTAATGAGTCAATACGTCGATTCGATTGCATCGTGTTTACTGGTGAATTACATGATACATTATTCGGATATCGTCCACGTGGAAATCGATTATTACTATTACTATTATTACTGCTATTCATATTATTATTATTATACGGACTTGCACCAGTAGGTAATGATGCTGATATTGCTCCGCCTACTGCTGCTGCTATTGCTGAAGATCTTGGACTGTTACTTCGTGTTCTTGTAGAGAAATGTGAACTTAAGAATTCATTTGATCCAGTAGAAATATTAGAATTATTGTTATTGATATTTGATAAAGCATAATTTCCACTGAATCCAGAAGGACTTAAATGTCCTGGATAACAACCGCCAGCCATTGCAGCATTAGTCACTCCCATTAAACGTGAAACTGTAATATGTATAAAGTAAAAGAAGTTCAATTAATGTTAGATATTCACACTACTAATGTAAAATTGTAAGCATAACAGTTATTTTATTTCAGGTCTAACCATGAACTGATATCAGTTAGAGAACCATTGAAAATCAGGATACACTTGACAGTTGTTTCTTCCTAGTCTAGGACTCGTCGGCAGTACGCGCCCTCTCAGGTTTGAACCCAGGACCTTCCGGTCACGAGGTAAGCTAGTAGGACATTTTGAACACTAGAAACCGACTTTGTTACTCTTGAATTCTAACTTCTGTCAATTTGCGAATTTAGCGCGATCACCATCCCATGTCATTGGCGAATATTTGTCCTCAATCACTACCTGGAGGACCCCATCAGATTAATTCTTAAGAATGGAATGTAGATAAACTTGAAACAAGTTAACTCTGGTGGGAAGCCGTGACCAGTAGAGTATAGCAGGTTGAAGGTAACGCATTAATTGGTCGAAGAACACATTGCGAAGTGGTAAGGTTATGTCATGAATTGGCAGAAGTTAGAATTCATGGACTGACCATTGGATCTGGTTCCAGTGGCTTAATGGTCTACTAGGTCGCCTTGTAACCAGAAGGTCCTGGGTTCGAACCCCTGCGGTGGGTGCTTACTACTGAAGAGTCATAAACTAGAGCGAACCAGTTGTCTAGTACTCCCCGCATGTTTCCCAATTGTCCTCTAACTGATATCAGCTCATGGTGAAATCTTCCGACCAATTATCTTTTTGTATTCAATGTAAACCTAACTTTTGCTGGTAACACATTATGTCATTGTAAGCACATTTACACTCGGGTTGTTAATTCTCACCAGTAGGTGGTTCAGTGTTAGAATGCAGGACAAAACCACACACACATACGCATGGTCAGGGAATCGATTCATGGCCAATAGACTCGTAAATTTCATCTAGTTTACTATCCAGTGTTAAGACCGGAAAAAGAGAGAAGATTGACCATGAGATTAACAACCCCAACCCGTACAAAAAACGCGCACTGCTATTGAATCTTCAAAGCATGGAATGCAAGAGACTGAAATGATAATAATAATTATTATCAAAGCATTAAACAATGAAAGTTAGTCTTATGGTGATCACACATCCATGTTCTTAATAGTCAATGCTTACTTTGAAACAGTGAACGCAATGATCTTCAATGAGAAATTCCTGAGTGATTCACTCAGTCGCATGCCTTTCTCACTACTGAGTTGTGATCACATTCTAGTAGTGGCTACCTTAAATCGATTAGGTTAACAAAAGATAATTATCTACTTCTCCCCATTCCTATGACACTATTGTCATTTTACTAATTAGACTAATTAAAGTTGGCTAAAATTTTCAAGTACTTGTCCTATTACCTCCTAGATACCAATTCTCCAGTAGTCAGTAGGCTTAAGGGATACTATGATGAACCGCAACACTGGTCCGTGTATGTATCTTGCCCTATAATTAATCAGTAGTTAAATTCAACTTTAAGTTGTACAATGATTGATTACGTAAGTGTGCATGTTTCACAAAGTATCTCCATGGGGAGAAGAAAGTGGGATATAAATGAAGGGTAATATTCATGTCTTTGTGCCTATGTGTTCATTTTGACTGTAGTTAATCTCATCTACACATATACATATACACACATACACTCTCATGCAAACACAAAAATACACAAATGTCCATATGATCATGGTAACTAGGCAACAACAACAACAAAAACAATCAAAAAGGGAGCGTAATTTTTCGTTTGTTTATCTTTACTATTTATAATCATTTTTAAGAGGCACTTATGATTGTGTAACTAATTAATTAATTAATTGTTTTTTTTCTTCATTCAACAAAAATAGAAGAAAAAAAGTTTTTTTAGGATGGATGGATGGTTGGATGAGTGAAGTGAGTTGAGTTGAGAATGTTTGTTGTATTGTGAAAAATAATTTTAGTAAGAGAACACAACTGCAACACTATTTGTAACGTCAACATAACACAACTACTCCATTTTGAAATAATGCCATAAATAAGAAGAAAAATTGTTGGAGTTATCCTCTTTTAGGCTTAGAGGCCAGGGGAGAGGGGGTGGAATGAATAGTATTCACATTGCCAAGTGTTAAGGATAAAATGAACACGGAATTGTGTCGCGTGCAATTAAATCGGTTACTCAGACCTCAATACATCATACAAACAAACATACAGACTTTTATGAATAGGTGAAGTTAACAATGTTAACTGGTCAGAAGTGAATAAAGTCACACTAGGCATGGTTACGTAACACTTAAATTTCATTTTACATTTCAGTGTTATTTAAGCATAATTACATTGTATGTGTGTGTGAGTGCTTGTAAGGGGCACAGTAGCAAACAAATTGTCAAAAGAAATTAGAAGTTTAATAAATATGGTTACTAAAACACTTTAGAAACCACTAGTTGTTGATTGCAATTTTTTTTCAAAAAGGATTCTCTGAGTATCTCACACTGAGTAACTTGTGAATCCTCTTCAGATTACTTTTTTTATTTAAGAGTATGGTCAGTTCACTCTAAGAGTTATGTGAGTGTTTGATAATTCATCCTATGATGATTTGATTTCATATATTGTCCATTATACTTATAAACAGTGGAGAGATGTGGCTGGCGCATTGGCTCAAGCGATCGATTTCTGGGCAGTAAGTTCATCTACTTCAGCCTATGCAACAAGGCACGGTACAGCTGCATGTTAAATTATTTTTAAATTTCTGTTTAGTTTCGTCATAATTTGGAGTTCTTCAGTAATGCATTTTACAATATTCTTTCTCCCTAGGGAATTCATGAGTGCATATTATCGTAAAGTCATAAATTATTCTTCACTGCAAGTTAATTTTCAGTAGTTGTCTAATTGATATCGGTTGGTGACAGAACCTACCCTGGTAATAACATTAGTTGTTTTTTCACTGTAAAGTTTATCGCTAAATGAAATCTATTAGAGATCCATTGGAAAACGAAGAAGCACTGGATACCTGTGTTTTGTTTTTTCTAGATAAAGACTCATAACTTGAGCAACGCTAATGATGCATAGTACGAAACAGTTATTAGATCTTTATTGTTCAATGAATAGTTAAATGATATTGATTCGTGATGAAGCCTACACTGAGACGAATAAGACTGTCTACCTATCTCAATTCGACATTATAATAATGTTTTACTTTTAACAGAAAGTACGTCGGTGGCACAGAGATAGAATGCTAGCCAACCACGTAGGTGGTTCAGGGTTCGATCCCCGGCCGCCAACGCACTCACATCCCTCGCTAAGCTAGGAATAAGATTGGTAAAGAGGGAAGGTTGGGCATGAGGCTAGCAAGACACCCCGTAAAAGTCAATACCATTGCTACCGAAACTTCAGAGCTCTAGCTTGAAGCCCCATATTCCACTGGGAACGTAAGGGAATAAAAATAAGTAATAATAAAATTTAACAGAAAACTATTCTAATCATAATTTTGATTGTTTCCATTCAGTTAAAGTATATGATTAATAATGGTTAGTGTTTATCTCTCTACTCTACTCTACTCTACTACTGTCATATGTTATTCTTTTGTGCATTGTATTACATCAATCAGTTCTTTGATATAGGTCAGAAACTTGGTGGGTCAAGTTAAGCATTATGTTAAAAATTGCGCTAAAGATGTTGTCCAGAAGGACGACGAAAGCTCCGCAACTAAACCAAGCAGCTCAGAGAACACTGTTAATTGCAAATCATCCACCTGAGCTATAAATCTTCTCCATTATTTCAAGTTAAGCATTCTTAACAGGCTACTGCGGACTTTTATCAACAACTGCCTTCTCAGACTCACTACTGAAGATCAAATAGCCAGAAAGATTTAGCAACAAGAAACTCTGGGAACGAACCAATCAAGCAGCTATGGCCCAACAAATATCCCCAAGAAAATGGAGATGGATCAGACAGACGCTGAAAAAACCATTGGGTGATATCGTGCTTCAGACAATCGCTCGATTGGAACCCGAATAAGAAGGGTTGATATGGGCATGGGTCTAAGGGTGACACGAAGGAGATCGTGTAAGAGCAATCATGGCGACAGCTGAAGAGGATTGCAGAAAACAGGACGAAATTGAGATGTTCTACTGAATCCCTATGTTCCACTCTTAACCCAAGGGAATAATAGTACATGTGTTATGTAATACTCCCTTTATGATACTATACTCGTTCATGAAATCAATTTTAATCAGGATTGGAATGTGAACTTTAAATATGCGGGATATTAATTGTAAAAGGCTTAATAGAGATAGTTGGCTTAATCATTCTTTATAAAAAGATATTAATGAAATGAAATGTGCATTTGATCCTGCTAGTGGATTTATTTACTCATTATTAATATACCAGTAAAGATTTGAAGTACAATGGAAAATAAAAAAAACTAATGCGGGTTAAACTATTAGCTCAAACAAAAAATAATTCTTACGAACGAAAGTCAATAGATAAGTGTTTCTTTCAACAGTGTTCTAAATGAAGGGGGAGGGGGTTCTTACCCCTCCCTCCTCAAAAAACTTAATTGTTGAAATCTTTTTGTGTATTTTTTTTCGGGGGGGGGGAGGGGTGTTTCTTTCAGTCAAGAAAATGAACATACTTATTGCTCTGATGCATTCGTAAAGTCTATTGTCAATCAGTAGAGACAGTATTCACTGATAATATGTTAAAATCAATTAGTTGAATGATTTAGCTTAGTTACTATTTACCAATAGGCTGTTTATTCTTCATATCTTATATACAACATATTCAGGTGTGAAAGTTAACATCTGACTGCCTACGTCATGTTCCAGGTCAAATCTTTTTTATTCAAAAGTCAAAAAAAGTTGAAACGAAACTATGTCAATGCTAATTCAGTAGAACGTCACCATCAAAAATGTGTTGCCGAACCACTGAAAAACTGGGGTGCATTCAAATTCCCAGGAGTTGAACCTATGATCTTCAAGTTATGACTCTAAAACATGCATTCCCTCGTATAGAATCCATTAAAGCATAATTTTTAACCTCTGTCAACGCGCGGTTTCGCATCTTTGATCCTTGTGAAGTAGGTTGTAACTGTACTTTGCTGAGTAACCCTACAGTATTCAGAAACAGTTATCTAGAGTTCTCTGTTTTTCAGCAGTTCTCCAGGTTATTTCAGTTCTTGATGAATCCCACCTTGAAATCAATGAAATCCCTTATTATGCAAAACTTAAAGATACTCATTTCTCTTCATCCTAATTTAATGGTGACAACGACTCAGTCGGCATCCAAAAGTTTTAATTTCTATGTACCGAGTTACAAGTTTAACTTGTACTTTAATTACTAAGGTATGAAGACTTATATAGCACTACCAGTTTTCATATGATAAGAATGATTTATTACTAAATGCACGAAAATGTTGGTTTTGTAGGGATTTTTTGTTTGATTGGTTGGAGGATTTCATCATGAGCTGACATCAGTTAGAGAACCATTGGAAAACCTTCAGGGAGTACTGGACAGTTGCTTCGTCCTAGTTTGGGACTCCCTACAAAACCAATACTTGGAAATCGACCTGATGCTAGCTAGCAACTGCTCCTATTCAGGCGGTTAACCTGGGTTTGTAGTTGGGAGCCATGACCAGTAGGTTGTAGGTGAGGCGCTAACTCATAGAAGAAGACATTGGCTAGTGGTCACTTTATGTCATGAATTGGTAGAGGTTAGAATTCATGGGTCCCAGTGGCTTAATGGTCTACGAGCTCGCTAGCCTTGTAACCAGAAGGTCGTAGGTTCGAACCCCATTGGTGGATGCGTGCTGATGAAGAGTCCCAAATTAGGACGAGCCAGCTGTCCAGTACTCCCAGCTGGTTTTCCACTTGTCCTCTAACTGATGTCAGCTCATGATGAAATCTTCCAACCAATGATTGTTAAATAATGTAGCTATTATATATATTATTTGTATCGGGGGTTCAACTGTAGGATGTTCGCAAACTGGGTTCGACTCCTAAACTTAGCCCAGCTACTTTAATAGCTCTCAGTTAGCCTGAAAAAGAGGCAAGGTTGTACGTGAGACTAACAATCTACATCCCTTTGAAAAACAATACTACGGTTACTCAAACTTGAAGGCTACAAGTCCTAAATTTGACTAAGTCCTACATCACTAAAATAAAAGAAATAAAAAACAGGACAAATACATAAATTGAAATATGAACAGATAAATAAACTAACCGTATTCATTGTATTCATTGTTCAGCCGTGGATCATTCGCAGCGGCTGCAGCTGCCGCCACACCATACCATGAAGCAGCGGATACAGCATTTACTGAATTCAACACACTTGATTCAATTGGATTCATATCGACAGAATTAGAAGAATTGCCTCCAAATACACTGCCTGCTGCAATACTTAAATTATTACTGTTATTATTAGTAGTAGTATTTATTGGTGAATTTTCATCTAACAGTTGATTTGATTGTTGACCAGACCAAAATAATGCACTCATACGATTATTATTACCACTACTATAATTATTCATTGAACGATGGGATATAAATCCGCTGGAATCGTTTGTTTGAGGAGATAATTCATTGAGATGTTCTGAGGATAATTTTAGATTATTTGTTTGACTACCGGTTACTTCATTCAAATTGAAACTTTGTGCCCTGTTGCAAAAAGATTGGAACAGTTATAGAAATTAAAAAAAAAGAGTGATAAAAACATTTCATTGAATCCTAGGCATCTAATATACATAAAATATAGCTGGAGATGTTTGTGTTGCTGGTTTAGCAGTAAAATCTCCGCCAACTACGAACTTAGTCTGGGGTTCGACTGCCGGCCAGCGCACCCCTAAGTATACCTTGGCCAGTAGTAAGCCTGTTAAAGAGGGCAGACTGAGAGTGAGTCTACCGACCTCCCCGAGTGAAGCGCAACACATCAGCTGCTGAAACTTCAAAGCTCAATCTTAAAACTCTATATTCCACTCGGAAGGTACAGGAATTAAATACAATAAAATATAAATATCACCATAGTTAACACTTGTTTCTTATTTATTTATTTTATTATAGCTTGATTCCACACAGTACTTTTGGTACAAGTATGGAATTTTCAGGGTGTGATATTGGTAGCCCAAATTTAGCAGGCCGACCATTGATATCACGTGTGCGTCGGCCGGAGATCGAACCCCAGACCATGTGCATGGTAGGCGAGCGTGCTAACTGCTGTGCCACCGACGCACGAATAAGCAAATAGAAAATTCACTTCGTCAATGAGTGTCATAAACTAGAGAAGCATTTGGAAATAACGACCGATAAGCAATGCTGTCCAGTCTAAGTTTGATACTTTTCAGAAATGTCTGACCATGAATTTGCAAGGAGTCTAACCCGTATCAGCTAGTTAGTTAGGTAGAACTCAGATACCCAGAATCTATTTTTTCTCATGTATTAGTCTATGGACCACATTCACTGTGTAAGGACTTGTGATGCTACCCGATTGTTAAAAGCTGAAGTAATTGGAGCGAGATTCGACGCTTCGACATACTGTTTGAAAGTAGAGGAAGAACACTACATAAGAGTTCCATTAAAAGTTATCGCTAGAATTCATTGAAAAGGCAACATTCATTACTAACAGTGATTAGTACTAGATGTTTATAATTTTATCAGATTTACAGGGAATAAAGGTGGGTGTATATACATGGAAATAAATGCTCCTTATATGTCTGGATTTCACTATGATTTCATGAGAAAGCCATGATCTAGTGTTCATGATGAATCGATATAAAATAAAATAAATCTTTGAACATCAGTTATAGACATTTCACACTTATCATAACCTGTCGTTCAAAACTGCAGTATCTTACGGTATCGGGTATATTATGCTCAAATTTCAGTATGTTACCCCTGTGAGATGCAGTCTCACTGTTACCTTAGGTTTTGGAATCTAAAGAATTTACAACATACTTAGAAGTATCATAAATGTATAGAGTAGGACAAACTAAAGCTGTTACCGTCAATACCATCAACTTTAACACTAAAGAATTTACAAACTTCGAAATTATTAAAACAAAAGTGGAATGATACATGTATTCAGTCCACTTATAGTCACCATTTCAACCCCTTTTTTAAGTTTTCATCATAGATATTACATATTCCTATTATCTTCTAAAATACCAGACTGACAGTAATAACTCTGCCATGAAAAAAATCCTTTAGAGCACTAGTTCTATACTTTTTACTATTCTGCATTTCTTACGCACTCTCAGTCACCATCGCATCAAATTCAGTAAGTTAAGTTTAGGTTGTCTGATCAGAAAACCTGAATGACTGTTTAGTTTTCCTTCACTCGTTGCCTTCCAATTCGAACATAGGCATTGAAGCCTTTTGCTAGCGATAGTATTTTCTACAGGGGTGAAGTTGTCAGCCTCACACCCAGCCTTCTCTCTTTTTGGAGCTTACTACAGGTAAGTAAGTTGGTTGGAGATCTAATCCGTACTATCTGTATGGCTGGTGAGCATCCTGCCACTGAACCGCCGACATATACAGACGCCAGGTTTTTCAGTATAATAATGATTATTATACATATGTTCACGTTTTACTCAAGCGGTAGTCAGAATCATTCGAATGAGTATAACATAGCTTTGTTCAGAATTTGTAGAATCATTTGGTTCAAGTCTTAATTTGTTTCCAGTTATCACTACATTGAACAATGAGCTAGTTCACAAGTCATCTACAGAATATGCAGGTTGTTGTTCATTAATAGTAACGTTCTATCGTAAAAGTATCTCAACTGTTTATGACATTAGGAATTACAATGCTAGTTGAGCATTTCAGTTTTGTCTATTTTCCCTTGTTCAGTTGACAGATATTTATGGTCAGAGTTGTGATTAGTATAGTATGATTGTGAACAATAAATTGTACTCAAAACCTCATCCAATGTGTCACATCAAATAAAGTTATCTAATCTAAATTAAAGTGGATAGTTCATCTTTTCTCTGCATGACTTATCGATTAAGTGTATCTGTTAAATTTCTACTAATTCACATATGAAAGTCAGACTCAAAGATTGCCATCATAGATTTTGTCTATATCCAGTTGTAAAGGCGTTGTAAATTAGGATAAGACCATGATCTATAACACATAAGGCTCATGAAATAAAACATACACGTAGGACAATTCACTAGTAGTGATATAGTGATATCTTAGAACGAAATGATGAACGTAAAGATATATCAGAATAGGATACGTTGAAGAGTCTGTTGACTACTGTTAAAAACCTTAAGTTTTACTAACTGTCCTACTCTCTACTCAACAGTATCTTGTTTATGCTTTTTAGGTAAGTTCAGATAAGTAGCTTGAATTAACTAATTGTCCACATATCACTAAGCCTAAACTAGCATAAGCACAGTCTATTATGTAATGTGAAACAACCGATATTCCACTACAGAAGCGATACAAATTCACACTTAATACAGGTGTAATGAATGAAAACAATAATTGGTTTATCATTATCATTACAAAAAATATATTAAAACTTACAATAATTGTGTGTCCATAGTGACTTCTTTTTATTTCAAGAGGTTTTCTTCTTCTTCCTCTAATTCTTGAAGTTTTGGGATTGATTTTTCAACAGGAAATCAATTACAAAAACACACACACAATCAAGGTGATTCTGACCAGGGCAATTAGAGGATGATACTTGTCGAGTACACTGTTCACAATACAACTTCCAGTTCTCTCTATTTTTTCTTCTTCTTATCCTCTGTTAAGAGTCTCTTGTAATCCTCGTATGGGGAGATGATATTTGATTTGATTTTTGAAGAATTAAAGTATTTGTTTTAAAAAATGAATTATCACACTTCTCTGTGAAGTTGTTGAATACTAGCCAAGAGTAAGTATGTGTGTATGTATGAAGAGACAGAGTACACTTCAAAAATCACAGAAAGATAACAACGAATCTCTCTGCTTTGTCTTTTCTTTTTTTTGTCTTCGTATTCTTATGACTTGATGATGATGTTGATGGCGGTGATGAATAGGCGATTGTGAGAAGTACTTGAACTGAAATCACTTGAATTGTTTCAAATTATAATTACTGTTATGATTATTATTATTATAATCTTACTCTTTTTTTTTCGTTGTTGCTGTTGATGATGCAGTTGTTGTCCTCCTGTTGGTTGTTAAACACACAAAAAGTACACTGTCTTGTTCGATTGGCGGATATGTATGAGTACTTTATGCTGGAGTGGTGATGTTGATATCACTGAAGATGATGTTTTAAGTTGTTATCTTGTTGAAAAAAAGCTTTTTGTCCTCTTGTTCTTCGTCTGCCTTGAGAATTGGAAACACTAGACTGTGTATGTATGTAATTGTTAGAGACACAAAGAGGGAGAAATAAGAATCCGTTATTATTATTATTTTTTCTCCCTCTAGAATGATTATTATTATTATTATTATTAGAATAGTCTGAATTAAGAGTTCTGTTATACTTGGATCACTTCACTTTGAACAACTTTGTCCTCTTCACTGTATTTAAAGCCAAATCGTCAAGAGGTCGTCAATGCTAAATCTTAAGTAGTAGTATTTCAGGATAAAAATTCAAGTCAATCGGGGTGTACAGATGATAATAGATAACCACCGGTAATCGAGGAATCTGAGTACCTTCTAAAAATTCAAGAGGTTGTGCTTGATAGTTCTCCAGTAGTTAGTAGTAGTAGTCACAAGAGAGATATATAAAGATAAGTGTATTTCGAAAACTATGAAAGTGCCACTTCTATGGCTCTTCTAATTTCTGTTTTTTGTTAGGACAATCAACTTTTTCTCTCACTTATTCGTTTTTCTTTGACTGTATCACCTCCACCCCATGTTCAACATCATCTCCTCTTATCCAACTAGAAATCACCACCTCCTCCTATCCTAATCTGTCTTTAGTTTTAAGTATTAGATAGAATACATTTCATTTATGAATAGATTCATCTATTGGTTAGTTTAGACAGCGCTTAGAAAATTTATCATTGTCTATTGTCAACCCCTACCTTTCAAAATTCTTTTCTTCTTCAACGACAATAGGAGGTAAACAATTGGTTTATATGTCCGCACGCGTAGAAAACTGATTGGTTCATGTGAGTAAATCTCATACACTGTCTTTCTATGATATTTTTTAACCAATCAGATTCTGCTTGTAAATATGTAGGTATTTATATAACCGATTCATGCAATTTGATAATCGATAAACCACACATATATGATGGATTCATTTAACAAGAGTAGACATAATTAAATTAGTGAAAGTTTTGTTAAGTTTTATGTTATAGATTCAATCACATACTAACCCAGAAAGTTTTGAGGTATACGTGGAACTAAATTATCACTTAAGAAGTTTTACTCTTTCGAAATTGAAGAATTATAGGGAATTCAGGAACTACTTTTGATTAGGTTGATCCTTTGAAAAGCATTCTAAAGGGTTAGTATTATGTTGACATTTGTAAGTGAATCAACAAGGTTAGGTTATGACATCTTCGATCATAGGTGTCTGCGTTCCATCTCCCATGTTTGGTGGTATAATTTAATGAGCCGTACTGAAGTTAAGCGTAGACTGTTAGGAGGGAAAATCTATCGATTAGGTTGTGAAGCTACCTCAGGTGAGGTGGCTAGGATATGTGTTACTTATGCCTAGCCATCGCCTTCCTCGACAAACAGTGTTAGCTGACCTTTGATCAGGTCAGGAAGGAGCTAATGATGACCACACCAACACCCGGAATCAGTTCATGAAAACTTTGAAAGTTAGTTTGAGCCAGGTATGGAGGTATAGGCTTCCTGGTTGGGGTCCTTAGGATCCTAAGAACCAAGAGCTGCAGAATGTTAGTGATAGAGCTTAAGACCGTTCTAAGTGGCACAAGTGCACTCACACTTTGTGATCTCTTACATCCAAGAAACTGTCATGTCTTTCCACTTTACTTTTCTTTCTCCTTTTTTCTTTCTTCTGTCCGTTCTTGTGTGCTACACGGAGCATGGCAATTCAAACTGCTGTACTTCTGAGCAAATTCTATTTGAAACCAGTTTCACTGTCAGGAATTAGAAATAAATACGAAGGAAATATCACGAGATCGCTAAAAGGAGATTTTGATGTAATGTTTACAGTTTCTTACTCAGTAGTGAAGCCTGCTCAATAATTCTATTTTTCTTTGAAAAACTTTTCTTTTTTAAGAAATTTTCACATTTATGTCGATTAGATGTCTAGAGTCTACTTCAACCAGCCTGTATTCTAAGTGACAATCTGAATGGCTTTAACTGAGTGTACAAACTGATTGGCCATCTGATTCCGTTTCAATGACTGAATGGTATACGAGTTCACCTTTGCAGCCTGGGTGCGTACTGATGAGGGGCCCCATACAAGGATGAAACATCTGTCCACTACTCCCTAATTTTCAGTAGTTCTCAAACGATTGAAATTTGCAAGAGCCAAACTGCTTTTATTCTTGATGTAAAGAACCAATTCTCTTGGAGATCTGGTAACTTTTAGCTTATTCTGACGACGCTTTTAGTTGTTAGATCTTGATTTGTGCTATTTTTTATAGCTGAAAGTATCAGTTAAAAAGCCACCATAAGCGCTTATCAAACAAAGTCAACTATCTTTGTAAGGATGATGAGAATGAGGGTGCAGTGAATTACCATCTTCTTTCTTACTAAGTTTTTCGATAAGCCTCTTTTTTGTTTGACTTAAGTTAGTCTCATTTGCTAGTGTTCATCATAATGCCATTTTTTCCCTGCATTTCCTTGCATATATATATACACTACAGAGGAGGTGTTTTTACTTCGTTTCAAGTGGAAATTATGTAACCTGTCATGATTTCAGATTCTCCCACAATAAGTAACCAACTTTATTTCTTTGACATGGAAATTAAATATAACTTTTAGTAGTAAAATGTATTCTTTCCCGAGGATTCTTGAAAGGATGTCTGGATGTTACTAACTTGTAGGTACTTGTTTCGTGGTAGATGGCAGCAGGATACAGGATATGTGTTTCGTTCTATTTGGGACTCATCAGCTAGATTTACTTGCATTTTGGCAAATGATGGTGATACTATGGCATTTTGAAGCGATCTATACAGGGTCTTAGTATCAGTGGGCAGGCTGTCACTGGCCAGGGAGTAAATACATTTAGTTTACCGGTAGAATGCTCGTCAACGACGCATATGGTGCAGCGCTCCTAAACTTTGCTAAGCCGGTAATAAGACCGGTAAAGAGGGAAGGTTGGGAGTGAGGCTAGCAACCCCACCTCGTAAAAACAAAGCATCACTGCTACGGAAACTTCAAAGCTCTAGCCTGAAGCCTTATGTTCCACTGGCAACGTGTGGGAATAAAATGTAAAAAAATGAAATGAAATAAAGATAAGACGAAGCGCACTTCGTAGATATGGAGAACAAAAGTTTAAGGAAACATTAATTAGCTGAACTGTCAACTGTCTGGATCTTCTCCTTCTTAATATCTAGTATAATTTATTAGAAATCCAAGCCAAAAACTTAATGAACATGACTTTGAGATTATTTGCCCAGTCAGTGGTCTGGCTTACACCCTTAAAACTTGATAGCTACATCGATTATTACTTTCACTTACAACTGTCTACTACGAATAATAAAAGGTTACATCTACAAGGAAGTATAAATTTCGAGACTACTGATGTCCTTTATTGATGAAAATACACACGAAGTTTTCTCTTCGTTGATTGACTTGTACCAAACTGTTGTAACGCATAAACTGGTTCAATGCTCAATTGATTGACAGGCATCAATGTTGCTATAAACATTCGAATGCATTAGTTACCAATAATTCTTTTGTTTTTGTTTTTCTTTATAGAATAAAGAGATAGAAATTTGTGGATTAAATCAAGAAATTAACTTTTACTCAATCAATAAAGAAAAGAAATTTTTTAGCGCATGTTCAGAATGTATGTTTAAGTATGATGTGCACATCTGTTGCGCTATTAATTACTCCGGAAATTAAACAGAAGAAGATTTCTCTTACTTTCAGTGCTTAATTTATCCTGTTATTTTCAAATCAGGGAAAGATTTCCTCTGATATAAATAGAAGATAGATATTAATCAATATATTTAAATCCTTGAAACCGCCTTAGTAGTAAATAGTAGTAGTAGTAGTATGTACCTGCCTAATTCAGGTAGTTTTAGCTCTCGTGCTAACAAGAGATAAATCTTAATGATAAGATCAAAAAGGTTGTTCAAGTTAGTAGTAAGTTAGTTAGTCAGCTATCTAGCCCAGTCTGTTGTGTTGATTTTTTTTTGGCTGATCTGAATCGATCCAAATCAGTGCATTGAATAGTTCTCGTTGAATGATGAGAACATATGGGAATTATGATTTAATTTTTGTTTTTGTTCAAGAAAAAAAGTGGTTACACAGAAACGAATTAAATCTTATCAACTTACATAATGGTGAAAAGGAAGAGAATGAGAAAAAAGCCAAAAAAGCCATTCTAGTTGACTGTTCCCCCCTACCCCCTACGTTTCACTAATTCCCAAAACAATTAAATAAATAATTAGATCACTGTGAATTCAGAGTAGGGTTAAATAGAAAGAACCGGACAAAAGTTTATTTTTGAAAAAAACACAACTGAAAAGACCTTTAAAAGATTTAAACGTTTCAACTTTGTTCTTTTGCTAATTTTAATCTAATCAGGAAAAGAGAACGAGAATAGTCGGTGGCATTGGAGGTGGTGTTGGTGAGGGGGGGATTAGTGGAGTTAAGTGAATAAAATACTAGAAATAAATCCTCCCATCGGTATTTAATGTTGAGCACAAAGTTAATATTCTTAACAAGTGGGTAGATAAAATGAAGTTGATTAAATTGATAAGTTATATATAATATGGTATTAGATAAGAAATCAATGATTAATACTTCATAAAGAATAAAGATTTTTTTGAAACAAGACAAATTCTTTCACATAATAATTAGCTTTCTCCTGCATGAAGTCATCAGTTGCTAGGAATGTAGATTAAACTGACTTGGTGTATAATCAGTCTTTTTTCTTTCGATTATTTAAGGATTATAATTACACTGATGTAACTGTCATATTGATGAACAGTTGTTTAACCGCCAAAAACAAAACAAAAAAAAAACAAAAACAAAGTTAAACTTCGAATTATTTAGTGTTTGGAACTTTTCATAAAGTTTACGCATTAGATTATTTTAAATTGGCACAGTTGAAGGTATTTCAGAAGATATCCTGCATGAGAATGACCTGCTTAGCTAGACTCCTGAACCAAGTGGAAACAGAAGTGATTGCTTCTGGGTTTTCAGTGGTTCTTCGGTAGTTATGTTTATGATGAAATCTTTTTTGAAATCATTCAGAACATTGACAATCCAGCAAAAATCATAATGAAAATCAAGGAGACGGGTTTTTACCAGGCCCATACAACCTCGCCTGAAACTCTTAGCTTGAGAATAGGTGAACACGTTTGAGTGAAGATTTAGAAATTGCCCGAAAATCCCTACCTGATGAGACTACTACTTCCTCATCTACATGTGTTGAACTGAAACTTAAATCACAGATCTATAAGATTTTGACTAAGTTTTAATTAGATCTACATCAGGAGTCAACGCTGAGAAGTGTTATGACCTTGATTACTTACTGAGTAAGTGTCGCTTGTTACTAAACTAGGAGAGAGCAATTTTTCTACGCTCTATGACTCCTAACGCTTTTCTCTCTGTGAAACTGTGTTTTGATGTAACTTCCATTGGAAATAATGTAATTTAAAGAAAATCGACGGTTTAACTATTGGGAAATGAAAACTGCCTCCTTAATAATTTGACTATACAGTTATAGGATTATTATTATTATTCCCTTGGGTTCCTAGTGGAACATAGGGCTTCAACTGCACGTCTCCACTTGCTTCTGTCTTCTGCTGTACTTTTCACCTGAATCCATGTTAG